GGGCCGTTCCTGAGTCTAGATACATTAGGGCCACTAGAGGGCGCAGGGCCAGGCTTGGGGGTGGAAGGAAAAGTGGAGACCTGGATAACGTAGAGGCGGAGCCTGCCTAAAGAACGGTCAACCAGAAGGAATCGTAGGGCTGAGGGCAGGGCAAAACAGAAGGCTGAAGATAAGGGGTGGGGCTAGGCTGCGGCGGGGCGGGGCCTGGCCAGCATCCCCGCTCTCCGGGTTCTTAGAGCGCTCGGGTCTCGAAATTCCCACTCGCGGCTCTCGGGCAGGTACTCTCCCAGCAGAGACAGAGGGTGCGCACAGCCGGGCTTCCCAGGCAGGGCGTCCGCACTCGGGCCACGCCCCAGGCATCGTGTTCCGAGCCGGGCGGTCGCGCGGCGCCGGCAGGCTGAGCTCCTGGTCAGGGGAACAAGCAGGACGCTGCCCTGGGCTCCTTCATCAGAGACTCTGAAGGCAGGGTGAGTGGGGCTAAGGAGCTTGTGTGTGTACATGGATGTGTTCGTGTGTTCATGCACGTGTGTGTGTTGGAGTTGGATAGGTGTGTGTGCACAGGAGGTTGGGTGTGTGTGTGCAAAATTGTGGGCTTGTGTGACCGAGACAGTGGGTCTGAACTTGGTGAGCTCTAGGTGGTTTTTTTTTTTGTGTGTGTGAGGGGCATGTGCTGAGTGACTCTGGGAGAATCTGGAGTGTTGTGTTTTCAGTGGGTAGCAGTGAGGGGTGCATTTGGGGGACCTCAGTGTGGAGAGGTGGGGAAAAGGGAAGTTTGGGCTGCTGAGTGTCTTGGACTAGGGAGAAAGGAATGGATAGGACAAGTGTTTGGTGTAATTCAGATTAATTCTGGTATCATTTCCAGCGCCCGTTACTTTGAGGGCTGGGAGATTGTGTGGGTGCTCACCCTGCTAGACAACGCCCCCTCCAGGACCCCCTGTGAACATGGTGCAAAAGTACCAGTCCCGGGTCCGCGTCTACAAGTACCCGTTTGAGCTTGTCATGGCGGTGAGTGATCCTAATTCTCAGCCCTTGGACTCCCAGCTAGTTCAGACTGCCCCATTCAGCCGACCTGCTAGGTCAGACTTCTAATCTGTGAGTTGTCCATTGAACCATTCCTCACCCCTCACCTTTCACCGGAATTTCCAGAATTCTGATCCAGTGACCAGAACAGGTCCTTTCTCCCTCTTCTAGTTACCAGCTCACCAGTGCTCTCACCTAAGGACACCCTGACAGAACTCAAGGGCGTCAGGGCCCAGCCACTGTTGTTATGGTGTGGACTAACAGCAGGAAATACAGGAGCACTTGGCTGTCTGAATTCTCCCAGACCTGATGTTCTGTGAAGATAGTTGTTTGTTGTTGTTGAGGGTCCGACTCATGTATAAGGCTTCCCAGGAGCAGTTGTTCTGTGAACATTCACCCAAATTACTATACAGTTCCCCCCAAACAAACAAAAACAAAAACAGCGGTTCTATGAGCTGCTCAGTGTTACAGAACAGAGCAGGTGGGGGACAAGGAGGGCTCCCAAGGCTCTAGGGCCCCCTTGCACCCTGGCAGCAGGCCGGTGGGTTTTTTTTTTTGTTTTTTGCTTAGCTCTACCCTCTGTCTTACAGAGCCACACTTAACCTTCCCTAGAAAATGGGACAGTACTATAGGGTTGTGCTGAGGATCAAAAGTCATATTGTGTGGTTCCTGCGGCTCAGTGCCTGGCACACACCAAGTGCTAAGTAAATACTGTTTGTCACTGTTCTACACTGGTACCAGTTACTGTCAGGCTAACTCCTACTCATGGGGACTCCTTGTATGTCAGAGTAGAACTTGCTCCATAGGGTTTGGCTGATTTTCCAGAAATAGATTGTCACTATGGATTAATAGGAATCCTGGTGTGGCGCTGTGAGCTAATGTGTCAGACTGCAAAGTCATTTGAACTGCAAGGTTGCTGGTTCAACTCACCAGCTGCTCCTTGGAAACCCTATGCAGGGTTGCTATGGGTTGGGATCAACTCAATGGCACTTAACAACAACAACAACAATCAATTAATAACTAAGTCTTTGTTTACCTTGTTTATTGGGCAATCCAACACTGGTTTTGTCCCTATAGAGTGGTCTTAGAGCTGTGGTTGTTACCCTTCGTCAGAATCACATCGATCCTAACTCATAGCGACCGCTACATAGGGTTTCTGAGACTGTAAATCTCTATGGAAGCAGACAGTCTCATATTTCTCCCAGAGACCGGCTGGTGGGTTTGAACCACTGACCTTGTGCTTAGCAACCCAATGCTTATCACACAGCACCACCAGATCTCCTGTTGTTAAGGGTCATCAAGTCTGCCCCGACAACCTCGCCCTGCAACATCGCACAGACTTTCCTGTGTTTGCGCGTATTGTTGCTACACTGGGTCAATCTGTCACTTGAGGGGTCTTCCTCTTTTTCACTGACCCTCCACTTTGTCAGGTGATGCCCTTCTCCAGGAACTGGTCCCTCCTGACAACATGTTCAAAGTACATATGACGAAGTCTCACTTTCCTCTTTTCTAAGGAACATTCTGATGGATTGTTCTTCTGGAAGTCCGTGGTATAGTCAATATTCTTCACCAACTCCATAATTCAAAGGCATCCGTTCTTCTCCACTCTGCCTTATTCATTATCCAACTTTCACATACATGTGAGGTGATTGAAAATACCATAGCTTGGGTCAGACATACCTTAGTCCTCAAAGTGACATTTGCTTTTTTAACACTTTAAAAAGTTCTTTTTGCAGCATGCTGGCTGAATGCATGGGCATTCATTATGCATCCAAGTAACGTGAAATCCTTGACAATTTCCATCTTTTCTCGGTTTATCATGTGGCATGAAGGCTACTCATGTAATCCCATTGCTTGATTGGAATATGTCAAATGTATACGGGGGCTTCACAAAGTTTGTGAAAAAGTGAAATGAAAAGATAATGGAGTTTTTCCATAAACTTTTTCGAAGCCCCCTTGTAATTTGCAAGTTTTGTGCCCCTTAGCTGAAGGGGGGGCTGAGTCTACCCTCCTCACTGGTTTGTTTGCCTTTTGCTTTCTTTCTTTTTGTGAGTATTATTGTGAGTCATAACGAACCATATACATTGTTAAAATATGCCTGCAAGTTTATGTGTAATGTTTGTAGCCTCCAAAGATAAAGATCAGAGTTATAAAGATACTGATAAAAAAGGCAATAATGAAAACTTACATACACACACACAGGAGTGCCGTGGCTCTGTGGAGTTAGCAATGGACTGCGAACCACAAGGCTGGCAATTTCAAGCTCACTAGCCACTCCGTAGGAGAAAGACGAGGCTTCCTGTTCCCACAAAGATTCCTAGCCTTGGAAACCCTGCACGGGGTCTCTATGAGTCAGCACTGACTCGACAGCGCTTAGCAACAACAATATATATATACATATATGGTATTTGACTTACGTCAGAGCTGACTTATAGAGTTGTTGGAATGGAACCTTGTTGTAAGTCAGGGACTACCTGTATAGAAGCTTGGACTCCAATGAGAAAAGGAGGTTTCAGATATGTACTGTGTGTGTCTGTGCTGCGTTTCGTTACAGTCTTCATATTTCTTAAAGGAACCGCTGCAGTCATGCTGTCTTATCTTCTATATCCTTCTCCTCAGCTAAATGACCCCGAACCCCAGCCACAGCACGGCCCACAAAGCCACTTTACCTACTGTTTACAAACCATCTTTGTCCCCACAGTAGCTGCATAACTTAACACAAGTTGTGTGTTGTACAAGTACAAAAGGGGTTTTCTGCATTTAATGTCAGTCTTTGTTCCTCAGCTCCACACTTGTCCTCCATTTAGGCTAGGAGCCAGGGAAGTTCAGAATGAGCTAAGTTGTTTTCACTATCTCTGAACGGCCAGAGGCGTTAGCCTCTTGCTTTTTCTGTTTTAACAAAACCTACCTAAGCACCAAAGTGGCTGTTGCTTCTTGTGTAGCGCCAGCGAGTCAGTTTCGACTTAGAGAGACCCTGTCTGTATAGGGTTTCCAAGGAGCAGCTGGTGGATTTAAACTGCCAACTTTGCAATTCAAACAAACCTTGCAGTCCTGTGCTTATCCTACACTGCCACACCAGGACTACCAACGTGGCTCTGTTGTTGTTGTTAAGTGCTGTCAAGTCGGTTCCGACCCATAGCGACCCTGAACAGGGTTTCCAAGGCTGTAAATCTTTACGGGAGCAGAAAGCCTCTTCTTTCTCCCCTGGAGCAGCTGGTAGTTTCGAAATGCTGACCTTGTGGTTCGCAGCCCGATTCGTAACCACTACGCTACCAGAGCTCCTTACCAACATGGCTCTAGCCTCTTCAAAAGTTCACCAGCAGCGACAAAAGAGCCGAAATTGGGCTTGAGGAATTGGTGGTAAAATAGCACTTTTACAGGCAACTTTTCTAGAACCAAGTTAACAATTTTTAAACAGTACTTTTGTGCTTTGTCTTGGTTTTACTTAAAACAGTCTCTAAATCCGATGAGTGAGTGTTTCTGTCTTTGGGTCAAACCCTTGGCCATGAATTCTGCCTCCCCTAATGGGATTCCAGGAAGTCTTTGGATTTCTTTTTCTTTGAGCACAGTCTATCTTATTGGGCTCCCAACAATGAGCTGGTATTCTCCTTACAAACACAGAGGAACCATGGAAACAATGGCTGCAGCTGAGAGACTGAAGTGCATGGGAGCAGCTCCTTGGTTCATTCAATTGTCATGGCGGCCACGGGCTTGTGGTGGGCTTGGTGGAGGTTGCTGTGTGTAGAATACAAGCACATCTGGGACTGTAGAGTCAGATTGAGTTGACTCTGAAAGCCACTCTCTGGTGGACCCATGAAAGGGAGGCATTTGTGGTTTCATGGTCAAATTCTCACCTTCCATTGGCTCAAAGGAATTGAGCCGAAGCAGACACCAGCCTTGGGCATCTGGTTCTTATCCACCACCCATTTGTGAAGTGAACTGCTTTCTAGCCAGGAGTCCTGGTATGGGCTGCAGGATAATGCGCTGGACCTCAACCCACCAGTCACTCCTTGGAAACCCTGTACAGGGTTGCTATGGGTCAGAACCAACTCAAAGGCATTAACAACAGTCAGCCCCCTGGAGTCCTTGTGTGGTGCTGTGGTATAAGCACTAGACTGAAGGGTCCATTTGAACTGCAAAGTGGCGGCTCAAGCCCACCAACCACACCTCGGAGACCCTATACAGGGTCGCTATGAGTCAAAATCAACTTAAAGGCACATAACAACAGTCAACTCCCAACGTATGACAACTCCATGCACAATAAAACTAAAAGCTACCCAGTCCTGCACCATCCCATAATCACTTGTGGATTGAAATGGTGTGATCCATAGGGTTCTCACTGGCTGATGTTTGGAAGCAGATCGCCAGGCCTTTCTTCCTAGTCTGTCTTAGTTTGGAAGCGCTGCTGATACCTGCTCATCATCCTAGCAATACCCTAGTCTCCACTAACAGCCATGGACAGTGGCTGCCCATCAGGTGCATTGGGAACATACACACAATAGCTTCTTCCGTTCAGCACAGCGTTTCATTGTAATACACATTAGTACGTCAGTCTTTCGTATGGCCTGACCACATGGTATTTGATGATTAAGTCATGGAAGAATGGCCCATTTGGGTTGCTTCCACCTTTTAACTATTATGAATAATGCTGCCACAAATATCTGCGTAAGCGTTTTTGTGTGGATGCAAATTGTCATTTGTCTTGGGCATATGCCTACAAAGGAATGCCTAGGTTGATTATTTTTAAATGTGAAGGCTAATGCTCATTGCCCCTCCTCCTCCCCTTCTCTATGCTTCTAACCTCCATATGCTTGGTGGTGGTGGTTGCGTACTGTCGTCAGTTCCAACTCTTAGCAGCTCTGGATAGGGTCTCTCAGGCTGTAAGTTTTACGTGAGCAGAAAGTCTCATCTTTCTCCCAAGGAGTAGCTACTGGTTTCAAACTGCTAACCTTGCAGTTAGCAGTCCAGTGCCTAACCCACTATGC